TGGGAATGAGAGGAGGCAGCTGAGGGATACCCAGGGTATGGGAGCCTGGCACTGACCTTGATGAACATCTTGTTGCTGACAGCTGCGCGGGAGGCCTTGGCGGGGGAGCAGTATACGGACATGGACTTCCTGTCGCGGGAGAACTCCAGGGTGAACTCCTTCTTCATCAGCTGCTTAATCACCTGGGGGGGCAGAACAGGGGCTAATGGGGGAGCAGTGACCCCCAAAAAGCACTGGACATGGAGCCCAGGGCAGCTCCTCCCCCCTGACTCAGGGACCACAGGGAAAATGAGACCAGACCAGGAGAGTGTGTCCCTCTGGGGAGCCCAGCACAACAGGTCTCCTGCTGGGCCAGGCAGGTGGGCAGAGTGGGGGGGCATGGGTAGTAGGGGGGCAAATGCTCAGAGATGCAGGCATTGGCATGATGGGGAGGGGGCATTGAGGGGTCCTGGAGGGGGCAGTGGGGTGGTATCTGGGGCAAAGGTCCTAGTGGATGAACACTTACAGAGTTGCAGGCATTGGCACGCTCCACCTTGGACAGGCTCCGCACATCTGTGTTGAAAACATTCATCTTCTCCACCAGGCAGGTCAGCGCCGTCTCGGTGGCTTCCCCCACCTTCTCATAGGCACCCTTGGCCTGGAAGTACATGCAGCAGGTCAGGGACGGGTGTGTCCAGGCAGCAGGGTGGGCATGCAGGATCTGGGTAATACTGGCAGGTGGGCAGCGAGATGGGGGATGCAGGTGGCCCAGGTAGGGACGGCACTAGACTAAATGTTACCCCAGGAGAGGAGCATCTTCAGCCCCCCCCCCACATTTGTTAAACTTCTGAATACCTTATATTTTATTGCATTTGTAGCCCATTTCACAACTTTGAAGCACAATGTGTATGCATGATTTATCCCCGTCATATAAGACGATAAATTTGCACACTAGGATCTGTAAAATCTGTATTTATTCAGGCAATATATAGGCAAATAAAAAATTGTTTCTTCTAAACTTATAGAAACTTTTTAATTTTAAGAATAACTGAAATGTACTAACATCAAGAAATTGAACTGTGCACTGACATTGGGTGGACATATATTAAATAGTGTTACAGTAGTTGACAGGGTTAGAATGTTAACCCTAGTTCTTTGGTTCAAAAGGTCGCTTTTCTCGCCTTTGCCCTTGCAAACTGAAGCACAGCGTCAGAGAGATCCAAAGACTGGCCAATGGTATTTTCGAGTGATAAAACAGCAAGCGATGTCAAACTCTCGTTGGCCGTCATCGATCCAAGATGTGTTTTAATGAGCCTGAGTTTTGAAAAGGTGCACTCAGCACTCACGACTGTGACCGGCAGCGTGAGCAGACTCCTCAAAGCTATCCACACATTAGGAAAAGAGTCTTTTAGCTCTGCATCATGAATGAATTGGAGAAGTTGGAGTGGAGAGCGCGTCCCAAGTGGTAAAATGTTATGGATGTTGTCCAATTTGACATAGAAGTCTTTGTCATTGACGTCCGATATTCCCCATGTGTCAGTGTCCAGTGAAGGTCTGTACAATTGTTCAAGAGTGTTTTCCTGTCCGCCAGCAGGTTATTAAGGTCATACCACCCCCACCCCCACCCCCCAGATCTTTTCGTGGTGCTTCACTTGTCCAAACCTTTCTTCATTGGACACTCGAGCAGTGTCAATGAGTGAGCAAAAAAACTCCCTCTTGAATTTTTCTTCTGAGGATCCCATCACCTCATCTCTACCCTCGTAACCAAACTGTCTCTTCTTCCAGTGAATACGAGTTTCCTTTAAGACAGGCTCAACTCCTAAGTTTTCTGCCATTTCTTTGGCAGCAGTGATGACATCTTCAAATCCTTGGTCTCTTTTGGCCACAGCGAAATCAAGGCAGCTTCTCATCAAAGTAGCGATTGCAATGTCCATCGATTGAGTTTCTAATGCCGTGCTTACAACGCTTGCTTGGAACAGGATATTGGGCCAAACTACAATTGAGACCATTGCACTCATGCTGCATTCCAGTCTTGGCTTTACTCGACTGTGCTAATTCCGTCAGTCATTGTAAACCTCAGTCACTTGGTACCCCACTGCCTCACACTGTCAATGTGACTCTCCCAGCGAGTGTCACTTAGTGGCTTCACAGTTAGATTCGTAAAACTGTCCGTGAGGATCTTCCGCCTGATAGTTGATGCTGAAAACCAGACGTATATCCTCTGCAATAATCCAAAGAGAGATACTGAATCTAAAGATGACGACGCTGCATCTGACATAACCAGGTTGAGGGAATGGCAGCCACAAGGCATGAAGAAAGCCCTTGGATTCAGTGCAAGGAACCTTGCCTGAAAACCATTGTTTCTTCCCTTGATGTTCATGCCATTGGCGTAGCTGTGGCCACAGCAGTCCTGAAGCTTTCATAGAATCACAGAATATCAGGGTTGGAAGGGACCTCAGGACATCATCTAGTCCAACCCCCTGCTCAAAGCAGGATCAATCCCCAACTAAATCATCCCAGCCAGGGCTTTGTCAAGCCAGGCCTTAAAAATCTCTAAGGATGGAGATTCTACCACCTCCCTAGGTAACCCATTCCAGTGCTTCACCACCCTCCTAGTGAAATAGTTTTTCCTAATATCCAACCTAAACCTCCCCCACTGCAACTTGAGACCATTACTCCTTGTTCTGTCATCTGCCACCACTGAGAACAGCCTAGATCCATCCTCTTTGGAACCCCCCTTCAGGTAGTTGAAGGCTGCTATCAAATCCCCCCTCACTCTTCTCTTCTGCAAACTAAATAAGACCAGTTCCCTCAGCCTCTCCCCATAAGTCATGTGCCCCAGCCCCCTAATCATTTTTGTTGCCCTCCGCTGGACTCTCTCCAATTTGTCCACATCCTTTCTGTAGTGGGAGGCCCAAAACTGGATGCAATACTCCAGATGTGGCCTGACCAGTGCTGAATAGAGGGGAATAATCACTTCCCTCGATCTGTTCACAATGCTCCTACTAATGCAGCCCAATATGCCATTAGCTTTCTTGGCAACAAGAGCACACTGTTGATTCCTATCCAGCTTCTCGTCCACTGTAACCCCCAGGTCCTTTTCTGCAGAACTGCTGCTTAGCCAGTTGGTCCACAGCCTGTAGCAGTGCCTGGGATTCTTCCATCCTAAGTGCAAGACCCTGCACTTGTCTTTGTCATCAGATTTATTTTGGCCCAATCCTCCAATTTGTCTAGGTCACTCTGGGCCTTATCCCGACCCTCCTGCATATCTACCTCTCCCTCCAGCTTAGTGTCATCTGCGACCTTGCTGAGGGTGCAATCTCATTCATTCAAAACATTCATAAATAGTTCTGTTAGGCCTTTTTCCAGGAGAGTCAGCCACAGACCGGAAACAGATGCAGTGTTCCTTTACTTGGATACAACCGTCCTCATTGTCAGCAAATCTGACTGTGACTGGCGGGAGTGCAGCCCCTTATTACAGCATAGAACTTCGCTTTGTAGAGCTAGATCAATATGGTATGAAGCACCTTCCTTCCCATAAAGCTAATCAATTCATTTTGAATTGTTTTGCTACAGTAATGGTCCATTGCTTCTTTTCAAACTACTCATCGTAGGTGCTCAGGCATGACATCGTCATATTTCCCAAGGAGCTCTACCAAACCGAGGAAATTACCGTTATGTTCAATGAACAACTTATCCGAGCAGCCCCGGAAAGATACAAAGAATAATTTAAGGAAGAGCAGCGGTGTAGTTGGGGGGTGGGGGGTAGGGAGGGCATTGTCCCCCGTCCCCCCCCAAAAGAGGTGAGGGGGGAAGAGTTACATGGGGTCATGTGTAATTTCACACCCCCATTTCTGCGAGCACGAGGGGCTCTGTCCTTCCCATACTGTGCCTCCCCCTCCCACCCTCTGCACATGGAGCAGCTGTTCTCCAGGTCTCTGCCTTGGCAGCTGCATGCTGCCTCCTGGGTCCTAATGCCTGCCTGTTTCCTGTACAAGCGTGAGTGCCTGTGGGGGCAGGGGAAGGGCAAGAGGTGGGGTGGAGGAAAGAGACAGTGCGGAAGGGGGTGGGATGTGGCAGGGGAAGAGAAAGGGAGGGATATGAGGCATGGGACAGTGTGGAGTGGAAGTGGGAGGGGACGGGGAAGAGAAGGGGATAGGGGAATGGGTGGTGGGAAGCAGGAGCTTGGCATGTAGCGTCCCCAGGACAGCAGCAGCAGCCCCAGCAGGGAGCAGCGACGCGGCAGCTGGAGCTCCCCTTTTAAGCCGTCCTGTCCCCCAAGCCAGTGAGCCAAGGGAACTGGCTTCAGAGTGTGGTTTGCCCCCCCCCCCAATATAACAGTCAATCTATGCCTATGAGAAAGAGGGTAATTGAGATCAGACGCTCGAGCACGTTCCTCCAATGCTGCGTTGCTACAGTGCTACTGCGCCGGTTTTCTGCACCTGTGCAGTTATTTAGCTTGAGCCGGGACTCGACCTCCATCCATTTGGAGTAGGCTGTAAAATGGCTGAGAGACTTTTCATGTTGTGTTGCTTCAGAACATCAGCTAAGTTATGCCAGTGACTGTACCCAGAAAATGCAAGCAACAAGTTGGCATTCTTGTCAAATGTTTTGCAACAAAACCAGAACACTTTGTCAGTTGCTTTCAAGTAAACTAGCCAACGCCGATTCAGTTTCTCACCATTCTCGAGCACTCTATCGCAGCATGACTTTGAGAAGTGTCGTTTCTGCTCATTTACTGGAAATATCATATCCTCGATTTTTCCCTGGCCCCATTCAAAATTGTATGATCCGTATTGGCAAAGTTTAGGATCGCCAGCCATAAAGCAAGATCCGATGTATCGAGTTGTGGTGTGCAATTTTTCTCACTGCTGTTTTATCGTGGGAGGCTGATTCTTCTTTATCGTTTCTCTCCTTTTCATGTAAACCACATTCTTCTTTATCTTCACTCGCCTTTATGCTGCCAGGAAAACTGGATGACTGTCCACCACTTTCCTCACATTTCCATTGCTTATCTTCCGGTAAATCCGCTAATTCCTTAGTAATAGGACTTCCATCATTTCTTGTTACTAACAACAAAAACAGCACCCTGAGCTCAGCGCTCCACAAGCCCGACACCCCAGGGTGTCGCCTGGACTGCCTATCCCTAAATCTAGCCCTGGGCCCAGGTAGGAGTGAGAAGGATGGGGGTGAGGGTGACCCAGGAGGGGGGAATCCAAGGTGATCCAGGCAGGATAGGGAATTCGGGGTGCAGGATGACCTGGGGGGTGCAGGATGATCCAGCGGGGTGGGGAATGCGGCATGCAGAGGGACCTGGGGGGTGCAGGGTGACCCAGGCAGGGCAGGGAATGCGGGGTGCAGGGTAACCCAGTTGGAGTGGGAAATGGGGGGGTGCAGGATGACCTGGGGGATGCAGGGTAACCCATGTGGGGTGGAGAATGGGGGGTTCAGGGTGAGCCAGGTGCAGTGGGAAATGGGGTG